GTTTGGAATAAATTCAAATGTTTTAAATTAGAACGTATGTGTGCATTTGGTTCAATCCTGAGTTGTGAGTCTACACCAGCGAGAATACTGTTTTTGGTTATTCACATTTGAAACACAAAATTAGCGGCCTTTCGAGAAAAACAAAAACTTTCCAGAAGTCCTTGAAACCCGTTTACTCTCCCAGGCTTCTGATTGGCCCACATTTGTACACGGCTAGGATTTGTCATGTTCTTGACAACGTTTGACTGCGTTTTTGGCGTTTACATGTGGACAAGATTCTTTTAAAAACGGAGAATCTCAGTTTTGAAAAACAGCCGTGTACGTGTTGACGTAGCCTCCAACACTCAGACCTCGTAGCCTCAAACACAGACACTCTACATCACGCTGGTTCTACACACCTGTCTTCTGGAGGGGCTTCTTCTCTGTGGCATCCATGCTCTCTTCATCCTCTACCTGAGCTCGTCCTCGGCTCCGCCCCCTGCGTGCACACACACACACACACACACAGTTGGAGGTTAACACAGTGAAGGAACAGCATTAACCCTCTGGATCCTCCTCCAGCTGTGTCCCCATTGCAGCACATCTGGATCCCTTCGATGTGAGCGCCATGCCTGACTTGTGTGTTACAGCAGGATCAGCTGCTGCGTTACATCATCGCCCGACTGAAACGAGCATCACAAAATTAAAAAAAAGAAAAAATAAAATGTCAATGAAATCAGGAAAACAACATTTAAACCCGACGCTGCTGACAGCGGTTTGACTCCGCCCACAGAAACAAGGATGGCGTCCTCAGACAGCTGCCTGAAGGTCCTGATGAAACGCACGTGTAGCCCAGCAGGTCACAGCTGAGACTCACGGCTGCTTTAACCGCAGCGGCCGATCAGCCTGTGGCGGCGAGGGTCCTCACAAAGACAGAATTACAAACGTGTGTGTTCGTTCTAAGCAGTTGGCTAATGAGCAGGAAACACCTGAAGCAGGTAAACATGATGACATCACAACAGAGATCTGTGTGTGTGGCAGCAGGTAAAACCAGGAGCCAGCAGGTGGCCCGTGTCAGACTGCTCCTCCCTCGTTACCCAGCATGCAACTCAACTACTTCCTCTCCAACACACACACACACACACACACCTGTATACCTGTCTCTGTGAGGACTCCTCCCTCCACAGACTGAACCTAAGCACAAACACACACACACACACACACACAGCTTCAGGACCTCCAGCATCACGTCCCCTGCACTGAGCGTGGAGGTCCAGGCTCGCCCTGCTGGAGCAGAGGACTCTGGGTCCACCTCAGGCGATCTCGCTGCTAGCTTCCACACATTTCTGACCCTCTGACTCAAACTCCAGACCTCTGACGTGCTTCTGTCCTAAAATAAGGAGGCTGTTACTCTGAAGTGAAAATGGAGCGCGGTGGTTTCTAAACACAGTTAATGTCGTGCGTTTACATCATCGCCGTGCTGCAGCTGGCGTTAGCCTCACACAGAGCTGCTGCCGAGCTGCTCGGCCTTCTTACAGGTGTTGAAAGTCGATTGTGGCCTGCGGTGGTCTGCACCACGTTGGATCAGGAACGTGAAGCTCTAAAACATCAGTGCTGACCCTGCTCTGACGCCAGGACCCTCCCCTCTGACTCACCTGCAGCCCATGTTGTTCAGCTGGAGGAGGCCCCACGGATCAACCTGCTGCATGAACACCTGAGCACACACTCACATCACACACTTACTTCTTTCTTGATTTGGGGGGCGGAGGGGGAGGAGGTGGTGGAGGAGGAGGCGGGGCAGCAGGTCCAGAGCGCCCGCTGCTCCCATCTTTCCGCGGTCGCCCACGGGGCCGCCTCTCAGGGGCGGGGCTAGAAGCAGTGGCTTTGGCCAGCTGAGCGCTGCGGCCGGCCCGAGTGACGGGAGGGGGCGGCCCTCTGTCCCGAGGCTCCTGAGGCTGAGCCTCAGATGGCATTCTGGGTAAAGAAAGAGAGAGAGGTGAGGAACAGGGTGGAGCTGGGATTCATGCTTCCCCTTTAAACCCACACTACACATAAGCCACGCCCACAAACCCTCTGAAACCTACACCCTAACCAGCCCGCCACCTCCTTCCTCTTCTACTGTTACTTTAGCTACAGGAAGCTGGAAGAGAACAAATAAACAAGAGAAACTGTACCGCCCCCTGGTGTTTGGGCCGTGAACTGCAGAACACAGACGCT